CTTATCCTGTCTTTTTCTCTCTTTGCACCCATTTAAAGGGCGAAGTCTCAGATGAGGATTTGCAATTGAAACGATTCAGCGTTTGAGAGGACCGCAGAAGCGGAGAGAGAAAGAGAGAGATATGCGGAGGCTGTAAGCAAAATAGCAAACCATTGAGAGGCACTTTGCCTCCCTTTACCTCCCTCTGTAGATTCCCGTTAAATATCTAAACAAACATTTCCTCTCTTTGTTTTGCATACGCTGGAGAAGCTGCAATTCCCCTTAAATACCCCTCCCTGGAAGCTGCGGTGTACAGATACCGGGGGGTTTGCCCTCCTGGCGTTGCTTATAAAATGATAAAGGAAGTAAACACCAACAGAGCAGCTGCAAGAAGAACAGAGCTCGCTGGGGCAGAAGCAGAGTTTCGTATGCTTTCCTTGATGTCTTCCCAATCATCTTCTCTGCGAAGAAAAAAAACATAAAAAAACAGAATTAATCACAAGAGCCGAGACTCTGCCGGCAGAAAAGAAGACAAAACCCAACTAAAAAGACAGATTAAATCGATAGGAAACCAAATCACAACAAGCAAACCCATATATATATATATATACATATATATATACATATTTATATATATTTGAATAAGAAAGAACAAGCTGCTATCAGGATAAGGATAGCCAAGGGACAAAGACTAAGTTGACAAGCCTTGCACGCATGCAATAACCTGAACTTCACTTTAAAAGCGTTAAGGCTTTAATACAACATCAGGGAAAGGAAACAACAACAAACGCAGGAAAACAAGACAAAGGGAGTTCCATAAACAAAGTGTACACTAACATGGATGAATACCAGGGTAGCAAAAGATTCAAGCAAAGGGAAGGCGAAAGGGTTTGTTCTAAGCTGCCTACTTGAAGGGCCTCTGCTCAGCCACAAGAGCAGCGGGGTTGGTGATGCAAACGAGGCTTGTCATTGTCGCTTCAGGCTCAGAGAGACGCCTAACTGAGGGTCCTCCTTGCACATGGCTCGGGGTGTCGTAGGATACAGGGAAAGCGAAGGGCGCTGTTGGTTGCTCGCGGCCCTGGCCTTCCATTGCTGTATGCGCAGCTGTTCCTGCGTCTCCAGAAGCAGAAGCAGTCGGTTGTTCTTCAGGATTGGCAGTGGTCTCTGAAGTTGTGGTTGTTTCCGTTTTTGTAGATGCAGTTGAAGTGGTGGTGACGGGCATAGGGCAAGTGATGAATGCGCAGTCAATTGTAGCGTCGTCACGGGGGTTGAATAATGCAACAAAGGAGCGGTTTCTTATATCATTATACACCCCTTCATTGTCGTTCTTGTACACCGGGGGGAGGCCAACGAAGTTCTCGTGAGCTCCTTTCCAGTAGCGGACAGCAGAAGAACAACCGTCAGAAGCTTGCACATGAGGTGCGTACGCGTAGGTGCCTGTGCGGGATAAACTAGCCTCTTTTTTGCTCATAGGGGTTCCCTAAACATAAACAAGTGCAAAGCAAGGAGTTAATGGAGTTATTTAAGCGGCAACGAACACTCTTTAGGTGAAATTCATCTTCGGAACGAACACAGGGTGAGGCAGAGACAGGTGAAATAAGAGCCACTTGCCTGCTGAATGGAGTTGCAGACAGCCTTTATGTAATTTTCGTCGGTTATTGGGATTGTTTTTGTTGTGTCGTTCTCTAGAGTGAAAGGATCAAGGTCTGCATGTTCCCTAACAACGTTGAAGGCGGTGAGGCAATTGGCGCGAGCTGCACACAAGGGAAGCGGCCGCACAGAAGTCAAATATCGCCGAAATCCTTTAAATTGTTGTTAAAATGGAGTATATTTTTGCTTAAATAATGATACAACTCACTTGCAGACCCCTTTTGTTCCGCGCCGTCCACGCCGTAGGCGGCCCCCAACAAGGCAGCAGCGGACAGAACAGAACAGAAGCTTCTCATCGTGTTTGATTGAGATTCACCAGACAGATCAAAAAGTGTATTAAAAATAAAACGAGTTAAAAGACACAGAGAATATCTTCCCCCATCTGCACTCGCTCTTCTTTGCTGCAGCCGCGGCTGGTGTGCAGCGATAGTGAGGGGTCAGGCGGGCGGTGGCGGCGGCCGCCTGTTTCAGGCTGCTGTTAGGCATCCACACAGTTGAAACTCGCTTGATAGCACTCTTTTTAAAGTTAATTAACCTAGAAAATAGAAAATTATTGCATTAAATACTTCTTCTAACTGCCAAACTACCCGCCTGGCTTGTGCACCGACTCCCGCGCCCGCGTGCCCCGGTACGCCTCCGAGCCCTTCTTACCTATTTGCTTACTTCTTCTCATATCCGCAGCCGTATATAATTATTTTTTTTCGACAAATGTACTTCTGTCTATTTTTCTTCCTTGTTTGGTTGGTCAGGGCCCCTGAAACTGTGCATTTCATAGACGCAACAAATACTTGCATCTTGTAATAGATTGGTGCGGTTCCTTCCTCCCTGTTTGTGTGTGCTTCTTTATCTACAGTAAATTTTACCTATTATTCGACGATCCAGTGACTCTATTTATATGGATGTATATTTCGGCATGAAGCGCCGCATGCGGCCCTGCTGCACTCCTGTAGGAACAACTCTTCAACGCAAGGAGCAACGACAGTCGTAGCGGTGTTAGCTGAGGAAATTCATGAGTTGCATTCGAGGTAAAATACTTGGGACAAATATCCTGTAAAAGAAGCGGATCCTTCCAACAGTCTTGTGTTACCCTGGAAGGCTGTGTAAGGCCTATTTCGAGACGAAGCATACCATACAGCAAATACTGCTCTCACTCACAGCTGTTATACGTATTACCTACCCCATAGTCACCTATTTAGCTGGACACTGTATATTATTCGCCGGACTCAGAGAATCTTCTCTTAAATAACCTAAATAGTCAAATAAATGGCATTAAAAAATAAAAGGGAGAGACGAAAGAGAACTGGAAGAACGCCTGAATCCTCAAAGTGCCTCTACAACCCAGCTAGCCCCCAAACCCTGAAGGCTGTGTGCTCTCGTAACCACGTTGATCACAATTCCGGTTTAAATGATCTCAATTATGTACTATGATTGCCTTATATCGTGCTCTTCTCAGGAATAGGCCGCTACAGGCTCAGTGGAGAGCCTATGGCAGTGCTCGTGCATGACAACCGCAGCAAGGCAGCCTTATATGTAAACGCATCGAATCCAGAGTTGATGAACGTATAGACTCAGGAAACAATCGTTAATCACTTACGTGACTCTAAGTGCCTAACATGCAAGCAAGGAAAAAAGAGTGTACCAGTTGCAGGCATACCACGGTATATATCCCCCACAACTGTCGCCAATCAACACATGCTCTAGTGTAAACGGCTTCCTTATAAGACTTGGGCGTACCGAGGGTATTCAAGGAGTCTCTAAGCGGAGAATAGGCTCCTAACACGGAAAAGGAAACAGAAACAAGACGGGAACAACGCCGAACGGCAGATAATGTTTGCATCTGCTGCTCCTCGCATATCGCTAATACAGGACCGCTCCGTTATCTGGCTGCTGCTCTCGCAAGCCCTTCTGTAGCTTGCGCCCCCTCTAGACTCCACTTCGCAATGGGGGTATTCCACTTTTAATGAAAATCGGTGATGAATCGCCGTCGGCGAGCAACACCAGCCACCACGTGGAGCGGTGTTTCTAACCAGACCCAAAAGGGGGCCAATGCTCAGAAAATGTAAAAGTGGAAAGCTGTCTCGGTTGCAGCGTTGAGCTAGCTTCAGTTAATGTATTGATAGCATGCAGGTATCAAAGACACGGCTCCTTCTTTATTAGAGATTCAGCAGCTGCAACGCTGCCTGAAATTACGCTGCCTTATGCACACCCGTGCTCTTATCCACTCCCTTCCCCTCCGCGCGCTACCCACTGAACAAAAAAGTGCTACAACGATGCTTCTGAGGAATTGTTTCACTTTTCAAGTCTTTCTCCTCAGGAACAAACTCAGTTTACCACTTTCCTGGCCAGGTAATGTAATACACTCACCGCGTTGCGCGAGCTCCGCGTGTTTTCATGAGGTTCCAGGACTTCATTCTCATCCTTTTCATTTCGCAATGAAACTGCTGCTGTTTTGGTTGAAAGTGTTCGACGAATTGTGTGTGGTGCCCTGAGCCGTTCGAAGGGAGTATCAACACTAACGGCGTCATTGCACGCAATAGCCCGAGAATGCTCAGCAAAGAGTATTATTTCCTAACGTATCGTGCGCAATTCATTGTTGAGTTTTGTTTTCACAAATCCCTCATCCACGTGCGCATCCAGTGAATTGGACGAACGCATTTTCGGCCGGAGGGAGCGGTGCTCCTTAAGAGGCTCACCACGCCCTTGACTTCCGTTAACTGCTGAGACATGCAGCTTCTATAGCAAGAGGAGACCGCTTGGAAACGCTTCTGGCTTTTGTTCTGAGGCTTTATACAGTTCGTCAGACACTTCTACGTCAAGTTCTCCCCGTTGAGCTACCTGGACAGCTACTTCGCTAACTAAGCAACTAGCTAGGCAACTATTTAGGCAGCTTGCTAGTTAGCTAGCAGGGTAGCTAGCTAGTTAGTTAGCTGGGCAACTATTTAGGCAGCTAGCTAGGTAACTAGCTACCCAGCTAGCTAGTTGGCTAGCTGGATAGCTAGCTAGGCAGCTACAGTGGCAGATGGACAGCTCCCTCTGGCCCTAAATGGCGCACTAGCGAGGAAAGCGCCCCTGCATAATGTGTAGTGGATCTCTTCATACGAAAGTCTAATGGAGGAGACACAGACAATAATCACGGGGCCTACTCATCTAGGTACAGGTAGCTCGACAGCAAGCAACAATGGCAGCTACCTAGCTAGCCAGGTAGCCTAGCTTTAGCTAGCTGTGAAGCAGCTAGCTAGCTAGACTAGCCTGATTTAGACTTCGTTTAGGTTACTCTGGGGCCAGTGTTCTATGGTTGCTGTTCTGCCTGACGCATTTCCCTCTCTTTTCTTTAAAAGCCTCTGGTTTATGCTGCGTGCTGCAAGTAGCTGCTACACCCAAAGGACCTCAGCAGCCCCAGCAGCCTCTCCAACAGCTACAACTGTGGGGCCCCAGCTGCCGTGGCCCGAACCCTCAAGGGAGAGCCCCTCAGTTGCTGCAGCAGCCCCAGGCCACACAGAAATGTATCGGGGGGCCCCTACTGCGTTCAGGGGGGCCCACCATATCTCTTCTTTCTTAAGGCAATCCACTAGCCGCAGCCCCGCCCTAGGCACGCCCCCAGCAGCCGCAGCAGCACCACCACCACTAGCAGCAGCAGCACCACTAGCAGCACCAGTAGCAGTACCCGTAGTAGAATCTATAAAAGCTAGAAGTGCAAGCCCGCTGTCATCCAGGACCCCACAAGTTACAACTCCTGAGGGGGACCCGGAGTGTACAGACACCCCAGCATGGCCTCGCGGGGGTATTCGGCTGCTGGCGCGCAGCTCCCACACCTGAACTGGAAATGCTGCGTCTGTTGCAGCAGGTGCATCTGCTGCTGCTGCTGTTGCTGCTGCTGCTTCTGCTGCTGCGGTGCCTCCACGGGCGGCGATTTTCTCTGCTGCACAGGGCCTCTCCACTCCAATTTCTTGCAGCTGCTGCTGCTCCTGCCTGCGCAGTGCTGCAGCAGCTTGCGGTGTATGCAGCAAGGCAGTTATTCTGCCTCCCTCAGCGAAACCGCAGGCCCTGATGGGGCCCCTAGGCTCGTGGGGGCCCCCATGGGGGGCCCCCCAGACGAAGGGAGAAGAGCAGCGAAGATCCCACAGCAGCAAATCACCTGCAGCAGTACCTGCAAGGACAAGGGGCCCGCTTGCTGCTGTGGCAGTAACCTCTGCTAGAGGTTCATCAAATAACCGCTGCAGCAGCAAAGCAGCAGGAGAAGCACTCCAAACTCTTACAGTAGCATCTGCTGCACCAGAGACAAGACAGCCTTCAGCGCCTTCATAAGACAAACTCAATACAGAGTCGAGATGCCCCACAACCCGCTGCTTCTCCTTGCGGCTTCCAGCAGACATTGGATAGAAACCCATGCTCCTGCTGCTGCTGCTGCTGTTGCTGCTGCTGCTGCTGCTGCTGGCGATGGCTGTGGACTCGAGGTCCCGCTGCGGTAACTGCTGCAGGTAGATGCTGCCGTCTGTACACCCCAAAGCTAACAAACGGCACGACCCCAAATAGGCTGCGCTGCTAAGGGCGCTGTCTGCAACTCTGCGGTGTATGGCTGTGCAGTAGCAGGAAATAGGGTGGCAAGCTGCTGCGTCACCTGCTGCAGCTCCTTCGCCGGAGACACCCTCCTGCTGCTGCTGCTGCTGCTGCTGCTGCTGCTGCTGCTGAAGCAAACGACCCTCTAAAGCATCGAAGCAGCACAGACGCCCGTCACGCCCCAACACAGCCACCCAACCCCTGCAGCAAGAGACACCTGATAACCCTAGCCAGCGGCATCGCACAGCAATCTGCTGCTGCTGCCGCTGCTGCTGCTGCCGCTGCTGCTGCTGCTGCTGAGTAGAAGCCACTGAGGCACTGCCAGCCACTGCAATCCTGCTGCTGCTGCTGCTTGGCCACGCGGAGAAGCGGCGCCAGGGGGAATTAGCTGAAGAGACACTGCGGGGGTGTCGACCCCACAGCCGAGTGGCTGCAGCAGGATTCCAAGCTGCAGCAGTGCGCGTTTGCTGCTGCTGTTGCTCTTCTTGCTGCTGTTGCTGCTGCTGCTGAGGGCGCGAACTGCCTTCCAGCAGCATCGGCAGCAGCAGCTGCTGCTCCTTCTCAGGCTTCGGGGGTGTTCTCCATTTGAGGGGAACTCGTTCAGCTGCTGCTCCCAGGCGCTGCTGTTGCTGATGTCTGGATCGCTGCACTGCAGCAGCAGCAGCCGCTGCTGCTGCTGCTGCTTCTGTTGTTGCTGATGAGGGAAGACTTGGAGGCAGTGGAGTCGGCGTAAGCAAACCCGGCAGCAGCTCCGGATGGTGGTGTATGTACAGATACCAAGGGGTGTCTCCCCACATAGAATACCCTGCGTCTGCATCTGCTGCTGCTGCTGCTGCTGCTGCTATGCTGCGGTTTCTCTCCAGCTGCAGCAAATGCCGAGGCGCTGAACGCCCAAAGGCAAGCTCCCACTCAGAGGGGTCAAACGGAGGAGACGACAGCCTGCAGAAGCAGCAGCAGCAACAGACAATGCAACAGCAGCAGCAGCAGAAACATCAGCCAGTGAAACAGCAGTAGCAATGGCAGCAACAGCAGAAAGCAATAACAACAGAAATAGCAGCCATAGCAGCAGCAGCAGCGCCACCAACAGCAGCAGCAATTGCAGCCACAGCAGCAGCATCAGCAGTAACTGCAGCCACAGCAGCAGCAGGCACAACAGCAAGCAGCACCATCACAAAGAGGAGCAGCAACAACCCCAGCAGCAGCCACAACAACAACAGCAGCAGCAGCAGCAGCAGCACCTCATGGGGTGGGGCTCGGAGAAGAGCTTAATGGGGGTTTGTCCAAACTCCTGCAGCTGCACATCGCGAACAAGAGGAGGCAGCTGCTGCAGCAGCCGAGTTAAGCCTGGAGAGAAGGCCTCAGCTTGAGTGCCAGTGGGGCAGCAGCTTCCTGTTGCTGCAGCAGCAACAGCGTCAGCGTATGTTAGGGGATGAAACACATTGTGCGCAGCACGAGCCTCCTGCAACACCCACATCAACCCTAAACCCTAAACCCTAAACCCTAAACCCTAGCTTAAGAAACCCTTCTCGTAGAGGCTCTCAGGCCCCCAAACCGACCTGCCTGCCTCTAAACCCTCAAGAACCCCTCAGCCTAAGCCCTAAACCCTAAACCCTAAACCCTAAATCGTAAACCTTAAACCCTAAACCTCAGCTAAAGCCCCACCTGGCCGGTCTGCTTGTAGCCAAAGATGAGATCAATCCAGCGGTGCAGCGCGCTGCTGCAGTTGCTGCTCTCAAGAGCAGCACGATGCAGCAGCAGCAGCAAAGCAGGATCTCCCTTACACCACCCGGGCAACTCAACATCGCCGAGTGTTTCTGCTGCTGCAGCAGTTGGTGATGATGCTGCTGCTGCTGCGGACTGAGCAGATCCCGTGCGGCTTGCTGCTGCTGCTGCCGCTGCAGCAGCAGCAGCAGGGTCTTCTCCACCCGCAGTAGCAAACAAAGGAGTACCTGCTGGCTTTGCTGTCAGCCTAATCGCGAGGCGGTTGCAGAGAAAAGATGCATCAAAAGAATAAAACTCTGGAGGCAACTCAACAAATGTCGATTGGCCGCTGTAAGCCCCTACAAGCCCCAAAACAAACATACTGACGCATGCATGCATGCAACACTAGCTGCTGCACTCGCAGCAGCAGCAGCACTCGCAGCAGCACCAGCACTCGCAGCAGCACCAGCACTCGGAGCAGCAGCACTAGCGATGGTAGCACCAGAACTAGCAATAGCAGCAACAGCAGTTGCAGCAGTAGCAGAACTAGTTGCAGCAGCAGCAGGACTGTGAGCAGCAGCAGGAGCAGCAGGACTGGGCGCAGCAGCAGGACTAGGAGCAGCAGCAGCAGCAGCAGCAGGACTGGAAGGAGCAGCAGCAGACCTGCCCATGCTCCTTGCATGCTTCTGAAGATGCGGTGTGTACAGTCAAAGCGGCCGCAGTGGAGACGAAGGAGACACTCCGGCAGCAGCCTCACGAGGAAGTGAATTGTATAAGCAGGGGTGCTGTAGTGGCTGCCATAGATGTAGTTCAAGTCTGCTGCTGCTGCTGCTGCTCCTGTTGCTGCTCCTGCTGCTTCATCCGATGCTCCTCCTTCTGCTGCTGAAGACCCGTCTTCGCAGCCAGAAGGCATCGTCCCTCCTCCCGCATCCACCTGCACAAATACGCATGCATGCATGCAGCCCCAAAGGCAGCTACAGCAAGTGCTGCAGCAAGAGCAGCAAATGCAGCAGTTGCAGCACGTAGAGCAGCTGCAGCCAGTGTAGCAGCATCTGCAGCAAGTTTAGCAGCAGCCACAGCAAGTGCAGCGCATGCATGCATGCATGCATGCATGCAGAGCTCGGCGTACTTGTATATCTTTCATTCGCTTAATGAGCCCTTCTAAGCGTTGGGGGTTGAGCGCTCCCATCGGTTTGCTGAGGTCTCGAAAGGCAGCAGGATTTACTAAAGGGTTAGAGGCCTCATCTTCGCCATAGCTGTGCATACACCCCACACCCCACACCCCACAGCCACATACACCTGCAGCATGTTCGTGGTGCTGCTGATCTTGCTAATGCTGCTGCCGCTCCTACTGCTGCGGCGGTTGCGGCTGGTGCAGTGGGAGACAGCAGCTGAAGCAACAGCTGCAGCAACTGCAGCAGCAGCAGAAGCAGCAAGGGCCCCTTCCCCCTCATAAAATAGGAATTATGTCTATTTATATGCATCTTTGCATGCACTGAGAAGTGCAGCACAAAAGGAGTGACCAGCAGAAGGCACAAGTGAAGCTGCTGCTGCTGCTGCTGCTGGAAGTGCTGCTGCAGCAGCACTTCCAGCAGCAGCAGCAACTGCTACATCCAGCAGCAGAAACACCACCATAAGCAGCAGAAACATGCGCATAGAGCAGCGCCATCGTCATTTTAGCAGCAGCAGCAGCACTGTCGCAGCAACAAGGAAGGAGCAGCACTTTAGCAGCAGCAGCAGCAGACCTGCGCAGGACCCAGGGGAAGACAGGATAAGCCGAGAAGTTGCTGCTGCTTCTTCCCGCTGCACTGTTAAGAAACTGCAGATAATGAAAAGAAGACAAGCGGCCCTCCTGCCACCGCTTCTGCATGCACCGCAGCAACTCGTCCGAGGCCTGCAGCATGAAGGCCCTGCAGCAAACGCAGCAGCAAACCCCAACAGCAGCCCCTTGCAGGCTAACATGTGTCCATACACCGCAGCAGCAGCAGCAAGAGGAGGAGGAGGCGGAGGAGGAGCAGCAGCAGCAGGTGCTTCTGCATGCAGTCAGCGCGCCGGCTACGACGAAAGCAGCAAGACAAGGAGGAGTAGACGCAGCAGAAGCAGCATTAACAAC